TGCCCAGCTGAGTGAAGGGGGCAGGGACCCGTCAGAAGGCTAAAAGGAGGAGGAGGGATATGACTTACCCAAACCATAGAGCTGAGCAGCAGAACATTTTCACCCCAGCCCATGTGTGCCCAGACGCAGGCCAAGATGGCTGACTGTAGAGACAGTGCTGCAGCTATGATCCCTGCTTCTTTGCAGAGGCCCAGAATCCTCAGATGCCCCCAAAAAGCAGAGGCCGGAACCCACAGACCTCAAAATAGGCCCAGGAACTGAAAGTGGCCCTGCTACCACTCCTAACGGTCACACTTCCTCCCTACTATACTGGCCTATAACAGCTCTAACTGCCTTAGAGTTGGGAAACTGCTTGTGGACAAGAAACCTAGGGAGACTGTCCCCACTGACTGCATAAGCCATCTGGTCTTCAGAGTGTGGAAACAATCGTAATTCTATGTGCAGGTGCTGAGCAGACACTCTTCACGCTTGACAGTAACAGCAGCTGGGGCTGCGCCATCTCAGCTGGAGCTTGTGCTGAGCGGGTGCCTGCCCCAGCTCATTTACTACCTGCCACTTCTCTATGCAATTCCCAAGTCCCCAGGGAGTCTGTCTCTTCTTTACAGACAGGACACAGGAGCCCAAAGACGGCAGGCAGTACCTGGCCAGGGCCCCATGGTCTTCCCTTCAGTCACATCTCACTGCATCTCCACCTCCCGTCTATACCATGCCCAGAAAATGGCAGAGGGCCACTGAGGGTGCACAGGGCTCATCTCACTTCAAAAGTTGGGCCTGGCACACGGAGGGCGCAGCACAGAGGCAGCGCTCACTGGGAGGCAGCCGCCCTCCTTCCTCTGGCCCTTCCATGAACCCTTTCCAGGTTGCCATCTTTCTCCGATAGGCCTCAGCTGGACTCTCAGCTCGGGCTCCCTCCTTTGTATCTCAGGGAGAGTCACATTCTTCTCTTAAGCTCAGCTTTCTCACCTGCAAAATGGGGTAATGGCAGAGACTCCCTCCACAGGAGCAGGACCAGAGGAAATGCAGGTATAGGGTGGCAGGTGTGGAGTGGCCAACCTATGGCCAGGGTGCAGAGTTCTCTGTGCTAACTTACCCCAGCTCTACTACAAAGCTTTCTGAGGCCAGCCAGGCCAGGCAGGGGACAAATATTCAACATTCAGAGACCCAAATCACTGCTCCAGTCAGGTGAGCCTCTGTTCATCCAGCCTCAGCCCTGCTCAAAGACCATACTCTCCACAAAGCCCACTCCTAAACAGCACTGGTGACTCCAGCTCCCTTCTTAGTGACCCCTCTGGTTGACTGGGTGCTCACAGCTCTACTAGGCCCTCCCTTGATCCGCCTTGGCCAGGCAGCATGTGCCCTGAACCAACTGGGCTATTGGCATCCTGAGGACAGAACCAGGTGGGCCTCAGCTCTGTGCAAAGCCCACCAGTGAAGATCTTGGACTCAGAAAGATTCTGCCTCTTTCTACCCTTGTGGCTGGGGGCACAAATACTGATCCCCCAAACCTGTGTTCCCCCGTCAGGACAAAGGGTGTAACAACACCTGCCTTACAGGCTTATTTCAAGGATGAGATGAGAAAACAAATATAGAACACTCACTTTGACCCGCAGCTCTCACACAGAGGGAATCCTACAAAATGCCCAGGCACAATTGCCTCCAACAGCACTCAGACAAGGCAGGGCCCAAAGACAAGAAGCATGACGTAGGACCCACCCTCTCAGGACTCACAGAGGGCCAAGAGAGGCATACTGCCCCCTTGAAAAGAAGCCTGTCAGGTCGGGGAGGCAGGAGGCTGCCTGCACAGTATGCTTGTGCTGACGTCAACAGCCCCAGAGAAGCCCCAATCCCTGGGAGAAGTGGCAAGCTTTGTCCACCTTTGGCTTCATTACTGCATCGCACACGTGGGCACTGAACTACCTGATTTGGCAAAGTTCAGAGATTCTACAGCCGTCCAGAAGCTACCTCAACTCAACCACAAGCAGTTTCCTGTAGAAGCAACATCAAAATCCTGCTTGGAGTGCCTAACAGTCACCTGTGCACCTGGCTTCTCTCCCCCAGAGACTGTGCCTTTCCACAAGGGTCAACCCCATCTACCACAGAGCACATGTTCAAAACATGCTTCTACTGCAGAAGCCGCCATAGACAAGATTCATGGTGCCTTTCATCACAAGAACCAAGCAGCGATCACTGCATGGGGAGGGCCAGTAGCTCTGACCCCCAGACACTGAGTCAGAGATGACAACAGCTTTCCACAGTCTCTCTTGATACTTCAAGACAAGCTCAGAAAAGAAAAGAAAAAAACAAGCTTAGAGGACACAATTCTGAGTAACCTAAGCTTTAATTAACCACCATCACCAAAATCTGGAAGCTCTCAATCCATGGTAAGGTGGGCATAAAACATAATCCAAAGGTTGGGGGAATAGGAGAAACAGACGAACTGTAATCCTGGCCCCACAGGCTGAGAGAGAGGCTTAATTGCTTACATGGGCAGACGTTAAGTGCTCTGGCAGGTATTCTTGGTTCCCATGTTCTGGGTGCTTGAGCCAACCATCAGGCCCTAACCCTACATTGGGAATAAATCCCCAAAACAAAAAGGCTGGGGGCATGGCTCAAGCTGTAGGCCACTCCCCTAGCATGCTCGGAGACCCAGTACCACAAAAAGAAAAAGAGTGGGCCCATATAAGAAGACTCCACTTCCCTTGGCTGTTCACAGCCTTCCTTTGCTCAGAAATTCTATCATTTGTTCACTACATGTTTATTGGGCACCTGCTCTGTATGTGCCCCACATAGGGACTGAGGACACTCAGACTGGGCAGTGTTCTTAAGGAACTCAATTACTAGCTAGAGGGACAGGCACACAATTCGTTACAATGCCAGAGTCCTCCCAATCACTTGGGATATACAGAAGAGGCAACAGAACAGAAGCACGTGCCTAGGCATTGAGGGCGGATCCCACACAGCAATCACTGGAGCTGAGACTCAAAGGAAGACCTGCCGTGATTGAGGGGCAAATGAGTAGGGTCAGCTTTTGGTGCAGAGCAAACAGCAGCACAAACAAAAACCCAGTACATTAAAGCACTACAGAGGACTGAGTTTAGAAGCCAGGTAAGGAAGTCTGGAGGCTAGAAGAGGAGACAAGGAGGCACAGCAGTCCTGCTGGGGATGTGGAGGTGGAGGGAGACTCTGGAGCCAGACTTGCCAGGGGTCAATCAGCTGTGCCACTTATTCATGGCTGTCCCTGGGCAAGGCTCTTCATTAGTAAGAGATTATATTCCTACCTGGCAAGGATTAACCTGACAGCACACACAAAGCACCTGGCACATTGCAAGTGCCCAGTAAATAAAAGGGGCCATTATGCTACTATTGGGGGATGACCTGCGATCTCCTTGGAAGCAGGGACCAACAGGAGAGATGATGCTCAAAGGTCAAGGCCATCAGAAGACATGCAGGGAGAGGTGTGTGTGTGTGTGTGTGTGTGTGTGTGTGTGTGTGTGTGTGTGGCACGAGCAAGCACTCGTGCACACACAGGGGACTGGAAAGGGGCTGCCTGGAGCTGCTGAGGGGCCTGCAGCAGATGGTCCCCCAGGCTCCTTCCAGTTCAGACATTCTGTGCCAAGAGACAGGTGGGCTTGTCAGGCTGGCACACGGTAGGTGCTTCAATGCATGTTTTCTGAGTCAATTAATGACCATCTTCCAATTTCTGCTCAAAACTGTTATCTGAACACCTTTTCAGACAAAACCACTGAGACCTATGCTCTGATCCATCCCCACTTCAGAAGCAGCCCCTGCTGCACCTGTGCCAGGAGGTGTGATTCTCTCTCCCCAGGCTGGGACCCACTCACACTGAGAAAGCCTGTGCTAAGCTTGCCTCCTTCAATAAAGAGGATTCAAAACCATTTCCTCTCCTCACCCAGCCTCCAGGGTGTGGTCTACAGAGAGACCCCAAGTGCCTGGGACTGCCATGTCCCTCTGCTGTGTGACTTCAGGGGAGATGAATTTCCTCTATGGGACTCAGTGTCCCCAAAGGTGAATGAAGGGAGCACTGGTAAAATCTGGAAGGCTGTTGCACCCTCACAAATCCCCAGTCCAGACTGGGAGACGTGGTGGGGGCGGGGGGCTGACAACACAGAATGAAGTCATTCCCTGCATGAAGAAGGGAGGGGTCTTTTCATGTAGAAAATGACAAAGAGAAACTACAGGGGAGGGTGCCCCTCCTACCTTGGGTCTGGGTTAATCCATCGTAATGGATTACCTCACACCCAGAGGTCTCCCAGCCAGGAGACCCCACCCACACCTGCAGTCCCAGGCCCTTTCAAACAATAAGAGCCCCCACCCCGCCCCACCCCCCAGATGTATGCCTAGGACCTCCTTAAACCAGAATCACACCCAGACAGGCAGCAAGCCCTTGCTCCCTGTACCAAGCAGGTGGGTTCAGGGGCCGAGGCCCAACAGGTCCCTGGCCAGTCAGTGCAGAAAGACAAAGGCTTCTGCAAGCAGCAGACACGGCCCTACACGTGAGCCGGGGCTGTGGCCAGGGCACACTCACAGGGAGGTCCACTGCCCTGTATGCTGGACTAAGGCTTCCCGAATCTCACGCCCACACTCCCTGCAGCAGCTCTGAGGACCTCAAGAGGTCTTCTTGGAGAAGGAAGGCGATTTGCAGAACCACGAAGAGGAAGGAGACGGGACAAGACATCCGGACAGGCAGAGGGAGACACCCAATGACCCAGGAAGCAGAGGGAGACGCCAAGACACAAGGTGCAGGCGCACCTTTTGTGGTCCCAAAAACAGAGACGGAGACACAGGGACACAGAGAAGACCCAAATACAGGGCCTTGGGGTGCCCGGAGGAAAGGCAGCGCACACAGGGAGACAGTGACAGCTGGACGCAGGGACAGATACACGGAGACAGACGCGCGGAGGTGGACACGCAGAGAGGCGGTGACAGACAGGCGGAGGTGGACACACGGACACGCAGGCCCCCGCCGGCCACTCACTCACCGAGGCCGCAGACCTCGCGGCGCAGGCTGAGGCGGCCGCGCTCCTCGGCTATGGCGCGCAGCATGTGCTGCAGCGAGCGCTCCTCGGCCTCGGCGCTGCCCGCTGGCTCCGGGGACACGGTGGCGGCGGGGGGGAGGGCGGGCGGCCCGGCCCGGAGCCCCGCGGGCGCGGACGCCGAGGCACAGGCCCGGCCCGGCGGCCGCGCGGAGGCCATGCCGGGCCCCGGCTCATCGCCCGCGCCGCGCCCGCGGGGGCCCCCGGCGCACCCCGCCGCTTCGGTCCCGACGCCGCCCGCCGCGAGCAGCAGTGAAGCCACAATCCGCCTTTGTGAGCGTCGCCGTCGCCGTCGCCGCCTCCCGCAGAGCTCAGCTGAGAGCGCACCTCCGCGCCGCCGTCTGCGCGCTCCGGCCACCGCCCAGGCCCCGCCCACGGCCCTGCGAGTCCCATCCTGTGTACCGGTCCTGCCCCATAACCCCGCCCTTGCCCCGCCTCCCACATGAAGTACCACGCCCACAACCCCAAAGCCCCGCCCTTGTCTGCTAGGCTCCGCCTCCGGGCCGCCCCAACCCGCCCAGACACTCCAGTCCCAGTTCCGCGGCGCTGGCCCGGTCTCCTCCCCAATGACCCGCCCTAGCCACGCCCACTTTCCTCTGGCGAGTCTCGGCCGAACTAGGATGGCCACCCTGGCTTCTCCGCTCAAACCACTAGGGGGATCCTTCTCCACACCCCAGACCTGTTGGTGGTCTCCTGGCCTCTCTGTGCCCTCCCCGCCATACCCACCATCTCTAGGATCTACTCCCAAGGTTCTGAACGCCTCCTCCAGCAGGATCGCACTTCCGAGCCCCTCCTTACCCCTCCCCCCAGCCACCCCTGCAATTTTGCACTTTGTCACTGTGTTACCTCCTCCTCCACCAAGCAGACTTGGCTGACTTCTTTCTGTAAACTTATTCCTGGGTTCTGATTCAAATTTGATTCACTGAACTGGCAAGAGGTCACCTTCCTCCAAAAGGAGGTCTCCCGTAGGACTCAGAGACAAAGCCCTCCAGTCCCCACTCACTGCACCCAGCCCAGTGCAGATTGAGGAGCCTTAGTTTCCTCCTCTGTGCAATGGTGACCTCTCCCTGTCTTACCTGCCCCAGTGTTGACTAGGTATGAGGAGGCCAGGTGTGGATGACGTCATCTGGGCATGTGATGCTGATGAAGGCCAAGGTCCAGCTCAGCATTCATCATTGTGCTAAGAGAGGAAGACCCAGCAGAGCAGCAGCCAGAGGCCTTCCCCAGAACTCACCCTCGTGTCCCGTGTCCCAGATCAGGTGGAGGAAGCGATGAAGGGATTGGTGCTACTGGTCCTCATCCGCTAAATCATCAGTGTCACCCCTGCAGTTGAAAAGGAGATTTGTGCAGGAAGGAAAGCCTCCACTCAACCTTGCTGGCTTAGATGTGTAGCCCGAGGGAGGGTCGGCATCCTGATTCACCAAGTTGAAGTACAAACTTCATGGACAGGAGTGAATAAAGCAGGAGAGTTGCTGGGTGCTGGTGGCCACGCCTGTAATCATAGCTACTCAGAAGTACTCAGAAGGCAGAGATCAGGAGGATCATGGTTTGAGGCCAGCCTGGGGAAATACTGAAGAAGACCTATCTCAAAAATACCTAACATGAAAAAGAGCTGGTGGAGTGGCTCAAGTGATAGAGCACCTGCTTAGCAAGCACAAAGCCCTGAGTTCAAACCCCAGTACCGCCAAAAACATAGCAAAGAGTAGAGCTTGGGAGGGGTCCCAAAAGAGAGTGCAAGAGAAGTGACACATGCTAATTAGGTGTGCAGAAAGCAGTGTTTCTATTGGCTGTGCCTGCAACATTCTGATTGGACATACCCAAGTCCTCACAGTGTCCTCATTCTGGTCCATCCTGCTTTTTTTTTCTTTCCACCCTTTAAAGTCACAGGGAGCTCATAATGAAGGTTTCCAGGGGAACTTCTGTCCTAGCTATACCGTCTAATTTCAGGTAACTGCCTAACCTACTTGCTAGCAGTCACAGTGGCCATCAGGCTCTGTCCCCATTCCTCACCTGTGTCCAGAGTACTTGCCTCCTCCTTTCCTTTGGGTCCCAGTATCCTTTCTCAAAGAATTCTCCCTGACCACCTTACCTGAAACACCACCTTCCCTCCTTTCCATCTCTGTACAGAGAAAGACCTCCTGCTGAGGTCACATCACACAGCTGCATGTTCTGCTTACCATCCAACTTCCCCACCCAGGAAGCTCTGTTTTCTGCACAGTTGTATTCCTAGGAACATGGATGCTGCCAGGCACATAGTAGACCCCTGCTGCAGCCTGAAATTCCTATGTATTTGGAGATGGAGCCTATAGGGTTAATGAAATCATAAGGTAGGACTCTGATCCAACAGGACTGGTGTACTCCTAGGAAGAGGAAGAGACTCCACCCCCAGCCATGTGGTGGTCTGCAAGCCAGAAGGCCTCACCAGAAACCAAATCAGCCAGCACCTTGATCTCGACATCCCAACCTCTGTAATGGTGAGGAAGCAAATGTCTGCTTAAGTCACCAGCCCGTGGTATTTTGCTATGGCATGGGAACAGACTAAGAAGTCACTGTGCGTTCTACAGAAGGTCTTCTGCACAACTGTGTTCCAAGTGCCTAGGATGTTAGCTGCCCGAAAGATGGATGTGGGCTGAATGAAGGAAGAGTGGAGGAAAGAGGCCTGTCTCCTTGGGAGAAAGGCAGGACATGGAACGGCCCTGGAACAGGAACTGGTGCCCTGGATCCTGCTTTAGGCCTTGCCTGGAGCTTTGAGCCACTATGCTCTGCCCTTCTTGGGGCAGGGCCTGAGTCCGACTCTCTCTGTGTTCCCAGCAGTAGCCACAGACGGGCTCTGTAAGAAGGTGTGCACTGAGGAAATTAATGATGACTGGCCTTTCTCCTCGGGGCTGCATCTCCATCTGTAACTGAGGACAGTGCCTGAGGGTTAAGGCCTCCAGTTGTGAGTCTGGAGAGCTGGGGTTTGAGCTGGTGGGAACGAGAAGTGGTGGAAATGGCCATTCAGAGAGAACGCACAGGGGGTCAGAGGCTGGCAGGTCCAATGGTGGTATCCCTCTGTGTTTCCCCAAGTCCACATCGCCTGCCTGTTCCCACTGACATGCCTTTGCACTTGAAATCTAAATCATCTTCCCTCCCCACCTCCCCGGGAAGCCTTCTGAAGAGGCTTGGCCACTTCTCAGCCCCCTGCACACCGCACGTGGTTGCTTTCCTAGATTCTGTGCATTGATAAATTCATCCCATTTTCCTCGGCATCCAGCCAAGGACAGGTGCCAGAAAGTATTTGTTGAATGAATAAGTGAACATCACTTGGGCTCTCTGCAGGTTTGTAATACTTCAGGCACTGTCCACACAGGGAGTTTTCTAATGTCAGCAAATGTAAAGTGATCTTTAAAATGGAAGAGGGCGGGCTAGGGCTTCCAGGCTGGCAGCACTGTCTTGATCTAGGCACTGATTACATGGGTGTGATCACTTCATGAAAATCAAGTTTTAACTTGGAGATGTATGCACTCTTCTGTGCACAAAAAGAACATAAAATAGAATCAGGATGAACACAGTGGCTCAACCCTGTAGTCCTAGCTACTCGGGAGACAGAGATCAGGAGGATCTCAGTTCAAAGCCAGCCTGATCAAAAAGTTCAAGGGACCCTGCATCTCAACCAATAAAAGCTTGGCATGGCACTGCATTCCTGTCATCCCAGCTACTCAGGAAGCATAATTAGGAGGATCATAGTTTCAGATGGCTTGGGCATAAAGTGAGACCCTATCTCAAAAATAAACAAAGCAGCTGGGCACTGGTGGCTCATGCCTATAATCCTAGCTACTCAGGAAGCAGAGATCAGGAGGATTGCAGTTTGAAGCCAGCCAGGGCAAAACAGTTCATGAGACCCTGTCTTGAAAAAACCCTTCACAAAAATAGGGCTGGTGGAGTGGCTCAAGACGAAGGCCCTGAGTTCAAGCCCCAGTACCAAAATAATAATAATAACCAAAGCAGCTGGGCACTGGTGGCTCATGCCTGTAATCCTAGCTACTCAGGAGACAGAGATCAGGAGGATCATGGTTCAAAGCCAACCCTGGGCAAATAGTTCAAGAGACCCTATCTCAAAAAACTCAATACAAAACAGGGCTGGTGGAATGGTTTAAGTGGTAGAGCGCCTGAGTTCAAGTCCCAGTACTGCCAAAAGAAAGATGTGAAATGCGTTTTTACAGTGTCAAGCAAGAAATATGTGGGCTGGGCATAGAGCTCAGTGGTAGAGCACATGCACAAAGCCCTGGGTTTCATCCTCAGCACCTAAATAAAGAAAAAGAATTATGGGAGGCCATGGTTTTGTTCATTTGTTTCGATGGTCCTGGGGTTTGGACTCAGGGCCTCCTTCTTGAGCCATGCCTCCAGCCCTATCTGGGTGTTTTTGTTTTTGTTTTTGTTTCTTAATGTAGTGATTTTATTATTGTTTTTACTTTTCAACCAGAGAAGTTTTTATTGCTGTCTGCACTGGTCTGTCCTGCAAGGTTCCGCTGTTCCTTACGGGAAGTTTCTGTCCCTTGTCATGAAGATGTTATCGACCATTCCTGTCCTTCCTTGATTCCAAGGTGGCTGCAGGAGGGAATGGCTCAGAGCAGAGGACAACAGGTGCAAAATGGAGATGGAGATGCCAGACGTTTCTCCTGCTTGTTAATTCATGGGCCCAAGTGAGGAGTCAGTGCTGCTCAGCACAGCACTTTAAGTGCCTCTTACAAGATTCATTATTATATAGCATTTAAGAACATTAAAACTGTCTTAAGATTTCAAATTTGAGAAATCTGACAAGTTTAAAAAAGTGCATTAAATTAGTGACAATTTTAAATGTGTGCATATTTTATAATCAGAATCTATTTAACATGAATGTGAGCTTTTCTCACTGCTATCCACTTCCCAAAGTACAGAGGAGGCCATTGTTGTAGACTAAGCTTCTGCAGTCACCCCATCCAGACTAAAAAACAAAATGAAATTGTTCGTACTAAAGTTCTGTATCACCAAACCAAAACTAAGTTATCTGACCTGAGAAACCCTGGAGAGAGAGAACACCCAAATTTCTGCTGGCATGACATCGAGGTGTGTCTGCTTTAACCCTCACACATTAAAAAATAAATAAATGAAATAACCCAGAGCTGGTGTAGTTCATGCCTATAATCCCAGCACTTGGGAGGCTGAGGCAGGAGGATTTGAGTTCAAGGCCAGCCTGGGCTACCTAGTGAGACTCATCCTGCCGAAATAATAAAATAACAAAATAACCTGAAGTAACCTTATGCTAACCCATCAGTTATTTTTCTATTATTTGGTTTCTTCATCCCCACCT